CCCGAAACAATTCCACAGAACTTCGCCCAGTGCGCAGAAAATTTGGTGACTTGAGCTCTCTGGATTTTGTTTATTTTTCTCATTTAAAATTCGTTACATTGACAATCAATGATCCTGATATTCTAAAGAAAAAACAATTTTTTCAAGGCAACTTTGCTAGTTTGAGACCCTCTATTTGCTCCTTACCCATCTCCCCTGACTTATTATAAACTTCAGTCTTGATCTCACTGACCAACACCGCATCAGATTCACTCTTTTCATTTATAACCATTATATATGTCCAGATCAACTTTGGGATGTTTTGATGCCGCATCTGTATAATGACGATTTCTCCTTCCTTAGTTTTTCATTGGTTCCCTTTTCATTGTTTTTCCTGTACGGGTAACAGGTTCTTGTGAGTGATGAGCAAGAGAAGTTAGTCTGGCTTCCGGGATCCAATGGGTCAATCCCTTCTGGGGCCTTGCAGGGTGGAATTAACGAATGGAGTGAGCCAGTGTACATTGGGAGAAGCACACATGACAACAGGGTCATGTGCGGCAAGGCATGTCTCATCCATCTTCTTTTTTCCTTTTATCAGCTATATTAAACTATTTTAGGATGAATAACGAGATAGAGAAATCATTTGCAACGGAGTCATTGTATAAGGGAAGAAATGATCATCCCCTTCCCGAGATATAAGAAACCCCAAAAAAAGATACTGAGGAATTGACGGTTTGTTTATGACTGCACTCGTAGTTGCAGTACATACATGCATTTTACCTAGTTGCATAATGTATTCAGCCCTCAGACACAATTGCAAAAAGTTGAATTCATTACTTAAGATTTGAAAAAATAGGGGAACTTTCCATGGAAGAAATGGCTGCATTCCAAGTATCTATTGGGAGAAACGAGAGATTAAGCAGGATAACTGATACCGTTTTTGTTTCACACACTGATGTCACAGATTTACCTCACAGAGGGAACACATACCAGGGCCACTCAATAAGTTATCTGTCTGAATATGAAAGGGATGAGCAACAGGCCTGTGCCTGCTGTGACATGTTTCGACAGGTCTCGTGAGTGCCCCACCACTATACCAGCTCAGTGGCTTAACTCCGTTCAAAGTGGTAGCGCATTAGATTTCTTTTCCTGAGTCTGTGTCATGGATTTGACGNAGCAACAGGTCTGTGCCTGCTGTGACATGTCTCGAGAGGTCTCGTGAGTGCCCCACCACTAGGGCTAAAGTCCGTTCAAAGTGGTAGCGCATTAGATTTCTTTTCCTGAGTCTGTGTCATGGATTTGACGAAAGTTGAACATCGTTCAGTGATCAAATTCCTCACCAAAGAAGGGAAAGCACATAAGGAGATTCATGAACGTATGTCTAGCGTTTATGGTGTGTCTTCGCCTTCTTATTACTAAGTTAAATTTTGGAGCAAACAGTTTAAGGTACTATGGGAAGATGAAAATCGACCGCCTGGATCGAAATTCCGCTTTATAATTGTTGTAAGGGACCTCAAGAAAGGGCCTTGGAGCCGATTCCTGACTCTCTGCGGTAACGCCCGGGGCCATGATTTCAGGTCAAAGGTCACAATTTACATGCATCTCTTTGAAAACGTGTATCTCCCCAACCATTGGTCGCAGAAACGTCAAATTTATGCCATTCTCCTTGGAAGATATCGCGCTAAATGGAAAAAATAAATACATGCATGTAACTGTCGTTATCGAGACGCCATGGCGAAGATGCAGACCGACTTTCAAAATATGGAGAATTAAAGATAGTCCAAATTATCAAGTTCGTCATGGAAGAGGCAACCACTACATTATAATGGATGTTCCAGTCAAACCGGAATAGATATATGGAACCGCGATACCGCCCCATTTTATCCCCTCACCGTTATGCCGTTTTTCCCCATCAGCACGTCTATAATAAAGACACTGCCAAACAAAAGGTGAGGTGCAAAAAATGACGACTTCATGCAATAGTTCACATTTTCACCTTCAGCAAAAAAAATGTCGACCTCATGGAGGTCAAGAAAATGAAACAAGCCACAAGCTATGAATAACTCATAATGTAAGTAAAAATGGGCAAACTTGGATCCAGGCATTCTCAAATACCTGGTTAACAGTACACCTCAGCGAATGCAGTGGGTTATCGAAATGAAGGAACATTGGTACATTACATTACGTTGGGAAATGAATTATTTTTCATCGCTCTTTTTGGAGGGGAATAAAATGAATTGTCCCAGTCTTGCACAATCATACGGCAGGGTTATCGCCGACGGCTAATGAACATCTAGGTTATTATCAAATATGACTTACCAAGAACATTCAGTCTACGGATGAAGAGAGGAAAAAGTACTACTAAGATGAACTGCGGCAGATACGCAATATGGCAATGGGATATGGCAATCTTGACTTAAAGGCTCCCATCCCCTTTATTTCTACCTTTGCACACATGTTCCACTCCTAGTCGAACATAAATATCAACATATGCCGCCGTCGCCGGTCCTACAGCATAATTTCTCAAACTAGCCCGGAGTTGTCAGGGATTTTCTTCCATCTTATGTCCCCATGATCCAGCCAGTGAAATGTTTTCTTCCTCCTTCTCTCACCAAAACACGGATAAATCGTCCCAGCTTATTTTTTCGTCTTTTTTTACATTGAACCTGATGCGAGGGCCTTCTTTCCAGGCCTGCTCGTGCTCCATACCGTAAGGTTAAGACGTACCTCTCGGGTAATATAATCGATAGGAATATTGTGTAATTACGAGTCAATACGAAATATGTCAATACGAAAACTTATCCTGAATGTTGTGCATATAGATGACATTTAAAATAATTGCATCAAGTGACTCCTCGGCCTATCTAACCTGGAATTCTGCTACCTTGCCTCACGCGAGAGGCATACGAGGGGCGTTCAATAAGTATTGCGTCCTTATTCATTTTTCGTCAATGAGATAACATTAAGATGTTATCGTCGCACTATCTACTGGACGTACTTCTGTCCTATCTCTGCGCAGAATTTGATCATTGAAATGCCACGATTTCACTTTGAATAGTCCTATCTGGGTGTGGTTTTGAGGACTGGAAATTTTCACCTTCCGGACCATTTTGAATTTCAGGGCGCTTCCCTATCAGCTCAGAATTGAGAGTTGAGCAACGAGAAGTAGATTGAGGTGAGATCGGATCGATAGAGGGGGGGGGGGGTGGCATCACCTCAATATATCCATCACGGGGTGATTGAAAGTCGTCCAGTCTCTCACTTTGGCTATTGCCAGGCAGAAGCTTTAACCCCCCCTCGTGCAGACTTAGCTCATCTCATCCTGGTAACATTTTCAACTTCTCAGAATATTATTCTAACCTAGAATCGCCCTGCAATGGGTACCCCTTTTGGAACTTGACCGTGAATTTAAAGCTTGTGAAGGCATTTTAGAAGTTAAAAGTGCCATGAAGCACCTCACACAATCTTTTGCCATATTGGAGTGACTGGTCGTAAATCAATTCCAATAATGTGTGCTTGCTTCCTAGCTTGTTCTCTGTTATAAAAAAAAAACTAAATCCAGGTTCCATCGTCAGTAATGAAATAGAATGCGTTGGATCTCTATTTCCATTTTGAACCAGCTCTCACTACAAATTTCCTTCAGTTTCTATTCCCACGCATTTGTGGGGATGTCGGGAAATCGTCTAGCAAAAATCTTTCTCACCCTGAGGTTGGGGTGTTGAAGTGTCTCAGAAGTTCCCGTCGAGAAGCGAGATTCGAGACTCGCACTCTCGGTAAAATGCCAGGAACTAGCGGTAAAATGTTCCGCACTTCTTCCGGAGCGATTCGTACGCGTTGCCTGATCCTTCTTACCCTTCCTATGATAAGATGGTAATTAGAAAGTACGGAACAATATGCAATACGTACGTATTATGACGACATACCTTCAATTGGGAGTTTCAGATGTAAATGGAAATGGCAATAAAAGAATGAGATGCAAGTCATGGGTAAGGAATGAAAATGGCCCGTCGCCCTCCGAAAGCGGGTCACCCAGAAACACTCGGGAAATCAGCCCTGACATTTGATTTCGCCCTGAAGATCCCTCGCATCCTGCATCCATTGCAGCATCCTCTTCAAGGCGTCCTCCACCTCCACTCTGCCCCCTCGCACCAGGTCCCGGTTCGCGCGGACGCTGATCCTCGCCTCGTCCTCGAACGTCGTCAGCATCACGCCTCGCCCTGAGGAAAGATTCATAGACCGTGAGTGGAAGGGCCATACCAGCGCTGAGGAATACTTTACAAATATATTTCCTTCTCTTCCTCCTTTTATCTTAGGGGAATTTTAAAAATAATTAAAGCAAACTCCCTGCATCGATGAATATGAATAATCTGATATTGACTCGAAACGGTTAAACGAAAGCCATCCACAACAGGTCAGTTGAAGCCGGTAAAAAGGTTTTAGTGAAAAATTTAGCCGAGACTTGGATGATATTAAACCCACACGCATGCGTTTTCTTCACTCCTTAAATGGCTCAGAATCCTGTCCCTTTGCAGCGTCCACTTCTATTTTTTTTCCAGATTTGCCTTGGCACACGGGACTCCAGTCAATTTACCAGCCTACTCAACTGGATACAGAGATAATGCAGGAGACACACCAGAACGGAACAAACTTGAAGTCCTTAAACCCAACCTATGGCATTGAAAGGCCTTTTCTTGCGGGTTAAGCGGCTTTGGGAAAAAGCCTGGGTCGAAGCGGCCAGGATCCGTTGCTCAGGTAAGTTTGTGATACCTTATTAACCGTAGTACTGCGGGTCCCGGAATATTCCGGGTGCAGACTGACGACGTTGTCAATGCAGCAGGGGTAGGATTTTAGGGTAGGAAGTTCTACACTCGGGGAATGAAACAGGGTGAGATCTCCATTCCCAATCAAATAGTGTGCGTCAAAGAATAGTTTCTTACATTCATTTTTTTTTTTCAAGTGAGGGAATTCTCTTCTGTTCCATGATACAGACTGTGTCTCATGAGAGTGTATCCCATGAGAGTGTACCCAATTTCTTTTGGCCTAGCCTACGGGCAAGAGTAGCGTAGCCGAGCCAGCCTAGCGCGTTAAGCCAAGTCTATTTCATCGGCTAAGCTATAATAAATTAAACATACTCAACACTTTCAGTCCGGGCAGGACTCAGGAGTCCCGCATTTTCTTCGCATGTACTACAGGATTACTCAGGAATGCACGACCTTGAGGCTAAGGCAGGATTTTGAGTCCCAGTCTATGGTATTTCACCTCATGTTGTCAAGTTGACAGCAGTCCACAGTAACATGAAGCAGCCGTATTTCCTCCGGCATAAATGATGTCATATTTTGCATTTATATCAGCCAATAAATTTCCTTTCAAGCCAATTTTTTTTACTGTTTTTGTAAGCTAGATAATGGAAAGTAGTACAGGAATGCTGGGAAACAACTTAAATATGAATATGAGTATCAGCTTAATTAAATAAATATCCATCTTATCATTTATTTGTATAAATAGCGTAATTTAAATATTTAATTTACTTAAGAAAACCCTTTTAAAAGCACTTTTATTTGAGCCTTGTCGAAGTCCAAAAAGTACATTACATTTTTTCAGCGCCTAGAACGTAATTCAAAACTGAAAGCGTTACGACAGATGCTCTGTATCTATGAATATTTAAATAATAATGTTGTCTTAAGTGGTTATTGTGAAAAGCATTCCTTATCCAACGGTACGTATGGGCAAATTTCCGTTTTCCAATATGTAAAAACGATTAGCTTCTAACTGCCACATGAGTCACAAATTCCTAAATCCTATCTCAGCAGGCCCCAAAATATCTGCAAAAATTAAGGCCCTCAAATTGGTGATATTATCATTATTATACGATGATAATCATTATTATTGTAGGCATAATCATTGGTCCTGATTTAACAACTTCGGTCAAGGCCCGATTTGTACAAAAAGTTTCATTCCAGGAAACCTCGATTTGAACATATTTGCCTTACTTTAAATCTACCGCATAGTTATGAATAGACTGGTCACGACTAGTTCGCAAAGCCAAACCAAGATTTTATGATGAGCTGTGGGCCCATTCTCGACACGCATTCAAATCTCAGTTCAGAGCCGAGAAGATCTGAGGTATTGTACATTGAAAAAAATCCTAATGCGCCTAGTAGAAAACTCCTGATGACGTTGCCCGACCTGCCAGGCGTAAATTCCTGGTGTGCGCTCTCACCTAGCATTTGCAAAGCAGGCGAGACGAAGTACGCAGATAGGATCTTATGATCCCGTATGCTCAACCCCCTCCCCAGGTAAGTGAGGTCCACATTTGAGGTCATGTAATCCGGTTCCACCGTCGTGTACATGAGATACTTGCAGAGCCGAACCGGCAAGAGCCCATTGAAGATCCGAGTCCCGATCGCCAGCGAATGCACGCCCAGGCCCTCCTTCGCGACTCGGTTCATCGCCTGGAAGCGAACGAGAGATTTCTGTGGGTCGGACGGAATCCCGTCGAAGGTCATCCAGGCCTGGCTCGACTGGTTTCCGAGGTCGCCGTCGCTCTTTCGACGCAGGGTGACCGCCATGATGCCCTTTCGAAACCGGGCCTGGAGGCCGTGGTACACGGCCGCCGTGAAGACGTCGTTGACGGTGCAAGCCATCTGCGACCTGACGTCTTTCAGCATCTTCAGCGGAAAGCCTGGTGAATGCGAGACGACCCCCTCCATCGTCCGCTCTGCCATCACCTTCAGGTTCGCTCGGACGTTTTTCGGGAGAGGGGAGGTGAAATTCTCGATCGTGTCGAACATGAGAATGCCTGCCAGGAACGACGTCCAGCGAGTCCAGCCATTCATCGTTGCGTTTTCGCGGCGACTCTCCGGAGGAACGGCCTGGTCTAGGATCGGCTCGAGCATCGCCCTGACCATGCCGTAGGCGTCGGAGATGACGTGATGGACCTGGAAGATCAGAGCCGTTCTTGCATTTCCTTGAAAGGGGATGACCAAAATTCTCCAGGGAGATCTTTCTTCGGGGAACTTTTCTCTCGTGCTGGACTGGAGGATTCGGTCTAAATCCCCCTCAGACGACACCACTGCATCGTCGAGGAATTCCAAGTGATCTCGAAAGCAGAACGGATCTTCCTCTCTCCAGACGGCGTAGCCAAGCACCCGATCGACCTTCATGCGAAGTTTCTCCACACTTGCAAGCACCTCGAGACGCTGCAGGAGATCCCCGGCGTCCACGTGTCCATCCAGTACGAGCGTCAAGGTCACGGGTTCCAGGTGCTTGTGGTAGGCGGAGCAGAAGACGACGTCCAAGTCCGATATCAGCCTCACCCTCTGGCCCCGCATCCTCAGCAGCCCAACGCACAGCCACACCCAGCACCGGTAGAGGGCCAGGAGGGTCAGCGCAGGGAGAATGAGGACCCAGATGAGGAGGTTCTTCAGTACCGAGAATAGCAACTTCATCGTCTGCACCTCAGCTGCCCGAGAGAAGCGAGCGGACGGCACCACCGGATGTTTTCGCTCCAGGAAGAAGTGCGATCCGAGTGAGACGTTTCGAGGCGTGACCTTTCGGGAGTTGCCAGTCATGATTGCTTATTTTTCTCCCAGGAATCCAGTCATTGTACCACGACTGAAATCCCTTCTCATGGTTCTATCGCGTTTCCGTTCACTTCCACGTGAACGTAATTAAGCCGAAATTACGGCGATTACCAAAATTAGGGCAATTAAAAAAAGATTTCTTCATTATTTCTCCTTGAAAAGACGAATCGCTTTCATTAGATACACGAACGCTCACAATGACTTTCATTCAAGTCCTTTGTCTTTCTCGTTGAGGATGTATCTTGCCTTCAATACAACATGTGACATGTTCTTCTCAATATATTGACGATCGGGACTTACTAAGTGACTGACGCCACTTGAAAGTATGTTTCAGACACTACAGAAAGCTTATAATTTTCGAGAATTATCGGCGACGTAATATATTAGGCTGTAACGAGTCGTGACGAGCAATTTTTTTATTTAATGAAGTTTTACCGCTTCGTTTTAAAGTTGCAAGCGCCAAAGCCTCTAGTTGAGAATATGATCGGTTGTAGGAAGGGTCATTTTGAACATGTCTGGCTCTTTTCATTTGAGGAATTGAGAGGATCCGAGGCGTTTCAAAATTAGAATTACAGCTAATTTAAAAGAAAACTTGCAGTTACTGTTTTGCCGAACGAACGATGTAAAATGAGACCCTCATGGCGAGTTCTCACGAGGCGAGCCAGCATGGGCTCTCAACCTCAAAAAACCTAAGAGAAATAGTGGTTAGTCATCCATAAACTTCCATTGCAATTTTCAACAATTAATTGGAAATCAATGTTAGGCGGTTGCCAAATCGACTACGGCGGCAGTGGACCTGCCTCTCTTGGACCTGTCCGTGACGATGGGCCCCATTCGTGGCACGCAAGCGCAGGGCCGCCCGCTTTTGCCATGTCACCTCTGGCGGGATTCATCGCTTGCTGCGCAGTGCGTCCTGGGCGAAGACGCGAGAATGCGGTGCTGGAAACTGGATGGAAACAGGCTCGCCTTTTTGCTGGACAGTCAGCTGGGGATCTGTAGGGTCAGCCTCTGACTTTGGTCAAGCCTCACGTAATAACCCTGTTCGTTCGCTTTGTTGCCGCTTCTTATGCAGCTGAGTAGGTCTTTCTCCTTCAGTTGTGGAAATGCCTTTCTTCTGGAACCACCTAGCCTGTTCCTCTTGCATAATTTTCAATCATTTCTGAGGTACCTGTTTCGATCTCGAAGTATCAATTATCTCCATTGTGAATCCCCTAACATCGAGATGATGACGTAGAAAGATGAAATCGTCATTTCCTTCTCTCCGAGAAATCAGGCTGTTAAATGCGAGCAGTACCAGAGGCACTGACACTGGTGAACTCTTATTTAAGTGGGCACGAAGAAAGCGCAAGGAATTAAATTTCGGGTTGACTGAAACGGGCGAAGATTAAATGGAGTTTGAAGGTACGAATTTACATACTCCAACAATATATTTTTAAAATTTGCAGAAACTGTAAACCTGCTGCTGTCCCTTTACGAAATAAAATCGGTGCCCGTTTGCAACTACGCTCTCCATTTAATCTGGAACGACCTATTCGCCTCTCACTTGCAATTCCTGGGACCACACCCATTCGGCACAGCAATGTTGTATCAACGTTGAAACTAGGTTGAAACGGTGAGAGATGGTTGAGGTTGATATATCAACAAGAAATCAACGTCTGCTCTGCATAAGTAATAATATTTTCACGTTTGAAGATGTATCATCAGCATTGACTTAACTTTAGTTCATTTCATTTTTTAAGTTTTCACTAAGATATCAAGTGAACTACTAATACGTCTCAATGTAATTCATTTTCGAGGGAGATCCCATTCAGGAATAAGCAACCCTGATCAAATTGAAATCTTCTTTCAGCACTTATCTCTGTGAGCTAAGAGTGGCGCGTGGTTTTATCTTGCACCTACCCTTGGTTTAACCTGCCTCAAATTTAGGTCTAAGACCCTATTACATATGCTTTATGTCATCTCTACTACTGCGTAACATCTAGGTGGATTTCCACATCCGGTCTAGGCCCATACCTTGGTTTTTTCTTTGTCCTAGGACCGAGTTAGGCCTACACCCATATTTCCTCCCTTCTGCGCCAGGACTAAACTTTGATCTATTTGTGAGACAATCACATGCCTAACTCTATATCTGTAAATTTAGGTCTAATTTGTGAACCCTTGGTGTTTGCTCACTGCAACCCTACAAAAGGGAAATGGCACTGAACATAATCAAATCATGAAGCTGAGTTGGCCAAAGGCATAAATGTCAAGGAAACATTGACTCTGCATCTGGGAATATTTACATTACACAATATATTCTCTGGTATTCTATATGATGATGCTATAAATATAGTGAATATGAAGTATTTTCTTGGCAACTCGGAAGTACTGGGAATGAGAACTCCAAGGAAAGAGTCTAGTTAAATGCTTAACACTGAAATGAAGAATTATGTAATATTATAACTTAGAAAATCATGAGTCAATCCTTGTGACTCTGAGGTTTCAGCACGATGAGCATGCCTGTGACTCTTTGGGGCAGTAATATGTCAAGATGTACTAAGTATCGGAAAAATAAGCAAGAGGTGAGGAAAATATTGGATGAAGTCCATGCAGAGGCTCAAGGGAGTTCACATCAG